CTAAAACGTTTTTTAAATCAAATAAAAATTATGACCTCTATAGGGTCTACAAGCTAAAAACGCGATTTTTCGTACAATCAGGGGCCATAATTCAGGAAATTATACTATGAAATGTGCGAATATCGAAAGGACTCGAGATCTTAGGGTGATAAACCTATATTTCAGGTTTCGTTGAAATCAGATAAAAATTGTGACCTCTAGAGTGTTCACAAACGATTGTGGACGGACGGACGTCATGTGGCCGTATAAAAACGTTTTTTTGTACAATCTGGGGCTATAATCTAGAAAGTGATGGTATGAAATGCACAAATATCAAAAGGGACTGAGATATGTTTTAACTTTCATCAAAATCGGATAAAAATTGTCAAATTGTGTCCTCTAGAGGGTCCATAACCTTTGTATTACATACTTATACACAATTTGCATACAAAGAGCGGCCATTTTGTCGGGCAGTTTCATTTCATTTTTCCTGAAATTCCAATTCAATCTTCATTATGGTGGAATGGTGATACATCTAAAAGGTTTTTAGATGTGACCTCTAGAAAAACCACAAACTAAAAATGCGATTTTTCGACCAATCAGCGGTCATAATCCAGGAAGTTAAGTTCGGATATGTGTGATTATCAAAAGGAACCAAGATTATAATAAAAACATATATTTAAAGTTTCATCCACATCGGATAAAAACTGTGGCCTCTAGAAGGTCCACAACCTTAATATAACATATTTTTACACTATTTGCTTGCAAGGGACAGCCATCATGTCCGTCCGTTTTAGTCCAATTTTCACGAAATTGGAAATCAACCATATATTCACACGTTTTTATTTTAAAATCAGATAAAAATTGTGACCTCTATAGGGACCACAAGCTAAAAAAAGACGATTTTCGTAAAATCAGGGGCCATAATTCAGGATGTTAAGAATCGATATGCGCAAATATCGAAAGGACCCAAGATCTTTGGGTTATAAACATGCATTTCAAGTTTCATCAAAATTGGATTAAAATTGTGACCTCTACAGGGTCCACAACCTTGATATACCATATTATTTACACTATTCGACGGCCATTTTGTCAGGCAGTTTTGGTCCGATTTTCATGAAATTCAAACTCAACCTTCATTACGGTGTAACAGTGATATAATCAAACGTTTTTTTAAATTGGATAATAATTGTGACCTCTCGAGGGACCACAAGCTAAACAAGCCAACAGTGAGCCTGATGTCCCCCGCCGAAATCCCAAAATCAGTAAGATGACACATATTAATTAATCACACATTTATTTTTTTCAAAAGTATCAAGCAATCAAACCGATTATCAACTATACACCAAGTTTCATCACTCTCTCTCTCAGATAGAATCAAAGTTATCTGGTCCCAAAGCATCGGCCAATAACATTGCTTAGCACTGTTTAGCTTTAGCTCGAAATGTTAATCACTGAACTCAGTCAAGACATTCACCTTATGAACATCAACATCAAGTTTAAACATTCTACCTCAATTATGTTCCAAAGTCTTGACCAATCAAATTGCTTATCGATCCTTAGCCTAAGCAGAAAATTCTCATCATCAAACTTAGCCAAGGTAATGATATAATGAATCTATACACTGAGTTTCATCACTCTCACTTAATCAAAACTAAAGTTATTGTCCCAAAGCATCAAACAATCAGATTGCTAATCTCTGCTTACCCTAAGCAGACAATGTTTATCATCAAACTCTATCAAGGCATTCACCTAATGAATGCCTACACCAAGTTTGAACATTCCACCTCAACTAGAAGGAGAGTTGTTGTGTTCCAAAGTCTTAACCAATCAAATTGCTTATCGCTCTGCTTACCCTGAGCAGAAAATGCTAATTATCAAACTAAGTCATGGTAATGATGTAATTAAACTATACACCAAGTTTCATCACTCTCACTTAATTAGAACTGAAGTTATTGTGTCTCAAAGCATCAACCAATCAAATTGCTTATCTCTGCTTACGCTAATCAGAAAATCCTCATCTTTTAACTCCGAACTCCATCAAGGCATTTACCTAATAAACACCTACGCCAAGTGTGAACATTCTAGCTCACTTAGAAGGAGAGTTATTGTGTTCCAAAGTCTCAACCAACCAATTTGCTTATCGCTCTGCATACCTGAGCAGAAAATGCTCATTATCGAACTTAACTTAGTCAAGGTGTTGATGTAATAAAACTATTCACCAAATTTTATCACTCTCACTTAATTAGAACTAAAGTTATTGTGTCTCAAAGCATCAACCAATCAAATTGCTTATCTCTGCTTACGCTAATCAGAAAATCCTCATCTTTTAACTCCGAACTCCATCAAGGCATTTACCTAATAAACACCTACGCCAAGTGTGAACATTCTAGCTCAGTTAGAAGGAGAGTTATTGTGTTCCAAAGTCTCGACCAATCAATTTGCTTATCGCTCTGCATACCTGAGCAGAAAATGCTCATTATCGAACTTAACTTAGTCAAGGTATTGATGTAATAAAACTATTCACCAAATTTCATCACTCTCACTTAATTAAAACTAAAGTTAACATGTCCCAAAGCATCAACCAATCAAATTGCTTATCTCCGCTTACCCTAAGCCTAAGCAGAAAATGCTCATCTTCGAACTCCATCAAGGCATTGACCTAACAAACACCTACACCAAGTTTGAACATTCTAGCTCAATTAGAAGGCAAGCTATTGTGTCCCAAAGTCTTGGCCAATCAAATTGCTTATCGCTCTGCTTACCCGGAGTAGAAAATGCTCATTATCAAACTTAGTCAAGGTAATGATGTAATGAAACTATACACCAAGTTTCATCACTCTCACTTAACTATAACTAAAGTTATCATGTCCCAAAGCATCAACCAATCAAATTGCTTATCCTAAGCAGAAAATGCTCATCTTCGAACTCCTTCAAGGCATTGACCTTATGAACAACTACACCAAGTTTGAACATTCTAGCTCAATTAGAAAGAGAGTTATTGTGTTCCAAAGTCTCGGGCCAATCAAATTGCTTATCACTCTGCTTACCCGATGGACGGACGGACGGAGACAGACAGACCCATTTTAATAGTCCCCTGCTTTCTTCGAAAGGCGGGGGACAAAAAGGCGATTTTTCGTACAATCAGTGGCCATAATTCAGGAAGTTACAATCTGATATGCGCAAATATTGTAAGGAACCAAGATCTGTGGGTTATAAACATGCATTTCAAGGTTCATCAAAATCGGTTTAAAATTGTGACCTCTATAGGGTCCACAAGCTAAAGACGTAATTTTTCGTACAATAAGGGGCCATAATCAATAAAGTTTTGATCTAATACATGCCAATATCAAAAGCAATCAAGATCTTTTGGAGATAAACCTATATTTCAAGTTTCGTCAAAATCGGATAATAATTGTGACCTGTAGAGTGTCCACAAACAATTGTGGACGGACTGGGGCGACGACAATATATGAAAATGTAAGCGTATAAAAATTGTGACCTCTATAGGGTACACAAGCTAAAAACGTGATTTTTCGTACAATCAGGGGCCATAATCCATGAAGTTACGGTCCGATACATGACAATATCAAAAGGAACCGAGATCTTAGGGAGATAAACCTATACTTCAAGTTTTGTTGAAATCAGAGAAAAATTGTGACTTAGAGTGTCCACAAACAATTGTGGACGACAGGGGCGACGACAATATACGTCCACATGAAAATGTGGGCGTATAAAAAGGTTGTCGTCTCAGGACCATAAACACTACCTATAAATTTAAAGTCATCAGATGATAACTTTGGTCTGCAGAATATTCAAAGAGGTCAAGGGCTATAACTCTGACATTACTTATCGAATATCGGCTTCTTTGGGTCATGACATTAAACATTGTGTATAAATTTAAAGTTAATCGGATGATAACTATGTAGAGCATCCACAAGATTTGCCAAAGGATTCTTTGTCTCATGACGTTAAACACTGTGTATAAATTTAAAGTCAATCCGATATTAACTTTAGCCCCTAGAGCGTCTGCAAGATTTTTCAAAGTGATCAAGTGTCATAACCCTGGCAGTAATTATTGGAAATCGCTGAAAATCAATAGGATTCTTCGTCTCATGACCTTAAACACTGTGTATAAATTTAAAGTCGATCTGATATTAACATTTGCCCCTAGAGAGTCCACAAGATTTTTCAAAGTCATTATGGGTTTTAACTCTGGCAGTAATTATCGGAAATTGTTAAAAAAATCAATAGGATTCTTTGTTTCATGTTCTTAAATATGTCAATCACATATAAACTTTAGCGCCTAGAGCGTCCACAAGATTTTTCAAAGTGATCGAGGGTTATAACCCTGGCAGTAATTATTGGAAATCATTGAAAATCATTAGTCTTATTCGTCTCATGATCTTAAATACTATGTAGAAATTTAAAGTCAATCGGATATTAACTTTAGCCTCTAGAACATCCACAAGATATTTCAAAGTGATCAAGGGCCATAACTCTGGAAGTAATTATCGGAAATCGTTGAAAATCAATAGGATTCTTCGTCTCATGACCTTAAAGACTGTGTCTAAATTTAAAGTCAATCAGATATTACCTTTAGCCCCTAGAGCGTCCAAAAGATCTTTTGAAGTGATCAAGGGCCATAACTCTGGCAGTAATTATCGGAAATCGCTGAAAATCAATAGGCTTCTTCGTCTCATGGCCTTAAACACTGTATATAAATTTAAAGTCAATCGGATATTAACTTTAGCCTCTAGAGCGTCCACAAGCAATTGTGGACGCCGGACCGACGGACGGACGGGGGCGACGACAATATACGATTTTGCAAAGTCATTAAGGGTCATAACTCTGGCAGTAATCAATAGGCTTTGTCTCATGAACTTAAACATTGTGTATAAATTTAAAGTCTATCGGATAATAACTTTACTCCCATGCTTGTGGATGCTGGTCGGCCAGATGGACGGGGGCAATGACAATATACGACCACTTTTCAATGTGGGCGTATAAATCAAGAAATGGCACATGTAAAGAAATTTATTTACTTTTCAACAATGAAAGCAGCCAAAGAAAAGTAGTCCCCATTTGACATACATATAATATAGATACATACTTACATATATAATTCTCACAATATGCATGTAAATATTTATAATAATAAACAAAACGTTAGACAAAACCAGCTGATTATATAAAATCAAGATTTCCCCCATGTTAAAGTAATAGAAATTATCAAACCAAATATTAATGTTACTATACTAACAGTAATACTGCTCTATGATTAAGCTGTGAGTTTTTACATTCATTATGAAAGTGATGATTTCTATGAAAATAGTGTTACGCCAGAATAAAATATTTTGTTATTAAAGCAAAATAGGTAATATTATACTTCTATTCACAACTCCAACCTTACAAACAACAAGCGGTTACCATGCAAGATACGCCCATATTTTGCAAGAGATAAACAGAAAACAAGCTAACAAAAAATATGTAATTTTTCGTACAATCAGGCATCATAATCAAGTAAGTTAGGGTCCGATACCCGCAAGTATCGAAAGGAACCTCAATCTTTGAGATACAAACATGTATTTTAAGTATTTTTTTAAATCAGATACAAATTGTGACCTCTAGAGGGTCCACAAGCTAAAATTGTGATTATCGTACAATCAGGGGCCATAATCCAGGAACCAATATATCATAGACACATCAATAATCCATAACCCGGTCCTTTAGTTTTACTCATCTATAGAGCTTTGGGTTTTAAGTGAAAAATAATTATTGTGTTAGCTGCACAAGATTGTCCAAGTCTGCGACAATCTTGTGCAGCTAACACAATAATTATTTTTCACGAAAAATGAGAACCACAAAAAACTGGCAAGTGTTGGATGTTGTGTATAAATATTGAATGAGAAACATTTATAGTAACAATGGTTGTAGGTGATGCAAGCTAAGACCATGAAGAAATGGAGATTTATTTCAATTGTACAATGATACAGACAATTTTATATACACAAGATGCAGTGTGAAGTTTATCACATATAGGTTGAAGGTTTACAGTAGAAATGGATGTCTGATTATATACCAAATCAAAACCAATGATTTTTAATTACTTATCTGATTGTCCGGTGGCTGAAGGGGGGGAATCGCCAACCGAGCTGTGAATTTATGAGACCAAGTTTTTCTAGACCAGTTTTTTGCGTAGATTCCGAATCTGGGTGGTGATCAGGCGTTTGAGGGGGCGCTTTTTTGAGATATATGGGGGTCCAATGTCTACAATTGGGGGGCAATGTCATTATGTTGACATAAATGATTATCATGTTATATATTAATAAAACATAAATTTCTAGGCCTATATTTCAAGTTTCGTCAAAATTGGATAAAAATTTTGACCTGTCAAGTGTCCAAAAACAGATTGTGAATGGACGGGGCGATGGCATAATATCATAATATGTTCACATGAAAATGCGGGCTTACAATATCGATAATTTAGAACTTTCTACTAAAGACCAAAATAAAATTGACTAATTTACATATAGATGTTTCTTTTTAAGTTTTCAAGATAATCTGTTAATATTTGCATTAAAACCATAATCAAAATTTAACTAACCCGAATGTAAAATTAATTGATATTACAATATTAAACTAAAGCAAATTTTACATCCAAACTTTATCAAGCATAGTATTACTTTTAATAGATACTTTTCTGTTTAGAATAAAGTTCAATAATTTTTGTTCAGATTTAAAATCTACATGCTGGGTAAGATTAATTTTTAATCATATTCCATATGTTTCTTTAACCTGAAGTGAGACAATACAGAAATACACCTTATTTTATTCCATCTACGGCAGACAGTTCATTATAATCTGTATTCCTAAAGATCTGGGCCCATATTCAAAGGTTTCCTTAAAGTTATGTGAAAATACTTAATTTTTCTACTTAGCTATTAACAAGTTGCATAATTTCAATGCAAGTTATGTTCTTGTGCCAGCAACACTACTCTATTTATATCCTAGTTGTCTTTGCTAAAAAAATTTAACACATGGAGATATTCATACTACCTTCGAAAGGTAACGGTAGAATGAACATTTATGTCATACTCATAGGCTTATTGTGTATTTATTCTTTTTATTTAAATAGATTGAAATTACATTTTTTGTATCATGGTAGCATTTACAACACACTAAGATAGCCACGCAAAGCATGCAATACACCCACACAGCTGCTTTGTCTTAACTGCAGTTTATCCAAACGGAAAACTTGGATGTTGTGCAAATTTGATAAGGATCTAGGATCCGTGATAATCTCTAGGGTTCATCATCTTATGACCCCATTGCTTCCAACCAAATTAGAAAAAAAAATCTGTTAAAGTCTATAGCCTCTTTTGCGTTCAAACAGTTTTCAGCAAAGGGAGGATACTTGGGAACGTAAGACTGCGGATTATGAATAGTGATAGGGATCAATTAATGACCCCAAATTTTGTTAAAAAATGTAGCCTCTCTCTTGTCTTCACAAGGTTCTAATTAAAAGGGGGCATAACTCCGGAACGGAAAGTTGCGGAATGCTCAATATCGATAGGGTTCATCCTCTCATGACCCCAATGATTTCCACCAAATTTTAGAAAAATCTGTTAACAACTATACCCTCTATCGTGTTCACAAAGGGGATGACTCCAGAACGGAAACTAGCAGAACGCTTAATATCGATAGGGTTTATCTTCTCATGACCCCAAATTTGAAAGAGAGAGAGAGAAATGGGGGTTTAACGTCCACTCGACAAAAACTAGGTCATTTCGGGACTAACATGATTCAATTTTATTTCAATAATTTGCTTGCGCGTAGGCAATCCTACTCATTGTCGCATATGACCAGGGAATCGAAACCACGTCAGTTGACTCAATGACAGACCTTATGATACAGCACGCACAAGCTAACCATTCAGCCATCCAACCCCCAACCAAATTTGAGAGGAATCCATTAATAATCATAGCCTCTATCGTTTACGGGAAAATGAGGGGTGATTCCAGAACGGAAAGTCACGGTACAAGGAATATTGATAGGGTTTGTCCTCTCTTGATCACAATGATTCACACCAAAATTTGAAAACAGTCCGTCAAAAATCTTAGCAACTATTGCACTCACAAGGTTTTCAACAAAGGGATTGATAACTATGAAACGAAAAGTCGCAGAACGCTAATATCAATCGAGTTTGCCTTCAAATGACCGCAATGCTTATATCCAAATTTTACAAAAATCTGTCAACAATCGGTTGCCATGCAAGATACGCCCACATTTTGCAAGAGATGTACAGAGAAGAAGCTAAAAGCCAACAGTGAGGCTGATGTCCCCCGCCGAAATCTCAGAATAAACAGATGACACATATTAATTAATCGCAGATTCTTTTTTTTAAAAAGTATCAAGCAATCAAACTGATTAGCAACTATACACTAAGTTTCGTCACTCTCTATAAATAGAATCAAAGTTATCTTGTCCCAAAGCAATGACCAATGAACTTGCTTAGCTTTAGCTCGAAATGTTAATCATTGCATGAACTCAGTCAAGACATTCACCTAATGAACATCTACATCAAGTTTAAACATTCTACCTCAATTAAAAGCAAAGTTGTTATGTTCCAAAGTCCTGACCAATCAAATTGCTTATCGCTCCTTAGCCTAAGCAGAAAATTCTCATCTTCCAGGCAAGGCTCTACATGGCGACTAAAACACTCGCCATGGCGACCAAATATATTTTCCGGCTAATTAAAATTTTCACTTGAGTCGCCAGCTGGCGACTGTAAGTTTTTTTTCTCGTTTTAAAATAATTACAAAGTTTTTTTTTACAAAACTGAATTTGTTTATTCAGCGCTTCGTAAAACTGGAACTTACTAGGGGAAATAACTCCAATTTAACGACAATATTTACGACATTCATATATTTTCTTACCATGTGCCGAAAATCGTTCTAACTTCTAACTTACGGCAATGTATACAAAATGTCCGACTACGCATGTTGTTGACCCATTTTTCTAACCCATACATTAAAGTTATTCCCTATATATTAATAAAATGAATAAAAAACAAAATCTTTTAAGCTCTTTCTTTAAAAAAAAGGAAGATTCCTCTCTGACACAGTCTTCTGACGGAAATCTAGCCGGTAGTGGCAGTAGTTCAACTACGAGTCAAAGTGACCTTGTTGTTACTGACACTACTGACATCGTTAGGTCTAGTGCTTCGAGTTCTAATGTTAGTTCCATAAGTTCCACAGTAGCATCAATAGGAAATCATCAGGGAGTAGTCATAGAAACGCAGCCTACCCAGGGGTCTAGAAAGGGAAAACGAAAATTCATGCCTTCATGGAAGGATGAGTTTTCATGGCTCATGTTTGATGAAAGTCGGCAAGTAATGTTTTGTGATTATTGCCGAAAAGCTGGACCAGAGCTAGCTGGCAATACCGAATTTTTGACTGGTACATCAAGTTTTAAAAAAGAATCAATTGCTAGTCATAATAAAAGTAAAAGACATGAAAAATGCCGGTTTAAAATTTGTGGATCTTCTGAACCCCCCTTAAAATACTCCATTGTCCAATCTTTTGAAACTGGGATAGACAAACAGTCCCTAAAAGCTGAATCAGAATTAAAAATTAAATTCAATACTGCCTATGTAATTGCCAAAGAGGAGCTGGCATTTACTAAATTTCCAATACTACTGATGCTTCAGAAAAAGAATGGTTTGGATATAAGTGCCACTTATGACAATGATGTTAAGTGTGCTGAATTTATTTCCACCATTTCTCAAGATTTAAAGTTCTCTACTCTTCAAAAACTTCAATCTGCTAAGTTTATATCCATCATGATTGATGGTGCAACTGATAGGTCTGTGGCAGAAAATGAGGTTGTATATGTAAGGTTCATTGAAGGTGGCAAGCCAATTAATCGGATGATATCCCTGTGTGAAATTGAACATGCCCATGCCTCTGGTCTTGTAGAGAGCATAAATAAAGCTTTCACTCAGTTTGGAATTGAAAATTATTTAGAAAAATTAATTGGTTTTTGTGCAGATGGTGCATCTGTAAATTTAGGGCAAAGCACAGGGGTTGTAGCTAAATTAAGGGATTCAGTTGGTCATCTAATCGATATTCATTGCATGGCACACAGGCTGGAATTGTCTTTATTGGATATGAAAAACAAAAATACATTAATGCAAAACTTAAATGACGTTCTTCATTTAATTTGGAAAACAGTCCAAAAAATAAAAGAGAACTTAAAGTTATAGGAAATGAATTAGACTGTAGAGTTTATTCACCAGCACCAGTAAAAGGCACTAGGTGGGTTCCTCATATAGATCATGCCCTTAAAATCTTCTTAGATTCAAAAGGAGACATTTCTAAACAAGAATCTCAGTTTGCCATTATATACGCTCACATGGAACATTTAAGTGTGTCAAGTAAAGCAGCAGAGATGCAGGGAAGGGGTAAATTTGTTTGTAAAGAAATGTGTCAATTTTACTTTGTTACATTTGCACATTTTATTTGTGATGTATTTGGAGATTTGTCTAGAATTAGTCTCAATTTTCAGAAGCCTGACATGATTTTACCAAGTGCCATCAATATAATCAAGGAATGCACTCTTACTCTTAAAGAGTGTTCAAATAGTCCTTTGCCAGGGGGATATTTGCAAAAATGGCTCAATTCTGTTGATTCACAGTTAAGCACCTTAACAAACTCAGAAAATAGAATTATAACACTTAAATTTCAGGGTGTTGATATTAAATTTGGAAGTCAAGATAAGATAGCGAATTATGAAAACTGTATTATGGAGAAATTTTCTTCAGTTATTGATTTAATTTTAGCAGAAATAGATAAGAGATTTATAAACTTATTGGGGGCAAACAAAGATGACAACATTGCTAAGGTTGTTAAGGCTTTCTCAGTGTTCAATCATGACTCATGGCCTACTACATCAGACAGTGAATTATCATATTTTGGTTCTGATCTAATCCAAATTTTAATTGACTGGTTCCATGATTCTTTGGAAAAAGCAGGTTGTCAAATAGACTGCATTCTACTTGAGTGGAAACAATTAAAATTACTAGTAGGTAATGAATTTAAAAATAAGTCTTATAATGAGGTATGGGCTAAAATGTTAACTAAAACACCATACAATACAGACTTCAAAAACGTGTTAATGCTTGTTGAAATCCTCATGGTCCTTCCAATAAGTTCTGCTGATTGTGAGCGATGCTTGATGCTTTTCCGCTCAAAAGAGAATTAAGTCTGACACCAGGTCATCACTTTCAGTACAGAGATTGTCAGACCTAATATTTGTCAGTACTGAGGGTCCGGAAATAGCCTCTTATATTCCAGACGGCGCTGTAAAGAGATGGTTAGGAATGAAGAAAAGAATTTTAACAGCTAAACCAAAGTTTAATGATGATATTCATTTTGTACATTAATTGTTTTCTTTAAACTGTTCAGTATGTTGTGTTTCATTCATTATAAATGTCATTGTAATTTTTAATATTATTAAAATTAAAATTTATTTAAATCAAAACTGGTGTTCTTTTTTCTGCATTGTTTTATATTTAGCATTATGATAAAGATTAAAAAAAAACAACGCGTAATATCTAGTAGTGATTTACGTTACAGACTACAGTTAATAGCATTGTAATTTCTGGCTACTAAAATTTTGGTGCTGGCTAGTAAATTTTTAGCATTTAGTAGCCAGTGAAGACTAAATTTTCCATGCCCATATTGACCCTTGCTTCCAGGTAATGATATAATGAATCTATACTCAGAGTTTCATCACTCTCACGTAATTATAACCAGAGTTATCGTGCCCCAAAGCACCAACCACTCAGATTGCTTACCGTAAGCAATGTTTATCATCAAACTCCATCCAGGCATATATCTAATGAACACCTACACCAAGTTTGAACATTCTAGCTCAATAAGAAGGAGAGTTATTGAGTTCCAAAGTCTCGGCCAATCAAATTGCTTATCGCTCTGCTTACCCTTAACAGAAAATGCTCATTGTTGAACTTACTCAAGGTATTGATGTGATAAAACTATGCATCAAGTGTCCTCACTCTCACTTAATTACAACTTTCATCAACCAGCCAAAATGCTCATTACTGTTTACCCTAAGCAGAAAATTCTCATCTTCGAACTCGATCATGGCATTCACCTAATAAACATCTGTGCCAATGAGAGTTATTGTGTTCCAAAGTCTTGACCAATCAAATTGCGTATCGCTCTGCTTACCCTGAGCAGAAAATGCTCATTATCGAACTTAGTCAAGGTATTGATGTAATAAAACTATTCACCAAATTTCATCACTTTCACTTAATTAGAACTAAAGTTAACTTGTCCCAAAGCATCAACCAATCAAATTGCTTATCTCTGCTTACCCTAATCAGAAAATGCTTATCTTCGAACTCCATCAAGGCATTGGCCTAATAAACACCTACACCAAGTTTGAACATTCTAGCTCAATTAGAAGGAGAGTTATTGTGTTCCAAAGTCTCGGCCAATCAAATTCCTTATTGCTCTGATTACCCCGAGCAAAAAATGCTCATTATCGAACTTAGTCAAGGTATTGATGTAATGAAACTATACACCAAGTTTCATCACTCTCACTTAAAGATACATTATGGGAGATTTTTATAGAGAGTTGGCCATTCTTGCTATAACAGTTCAAAAGAAGATGATGAAAGAAGAATATATTGAAAAATTCAGTCAAATTACTTTATTCTGAACATAGTTATCATCGTTGTAATATTTGCCTAGAAATGGTAGCGAAATGTGTCTTCACCTTCCCCGATCGTTTGATTGACAGGCGTTAACTCCACCTACATATCTCGATTATCAAGTAAAGTTTTCAATGGCATACGGAAACGCTTTACAGCGGCCTCGCTAAGTACACTCTATCATTTAGCCTCGATCTAACTGACGTATTTTCATCAGGTTACCCCTTATTTGATTTAATCAATTAGTGAAATCCTATTTAAATCCGAGCTGTAGCCGAGCCATCCGTGGGTCTACAGAGTTGATTTTGGTCTTGTTGTTTAAATAAAGATCTAATTTATAATTTCTATAACATCTGAAGCCTAAATTAAGACTTGCAATAATCAGATTTAGCTCTTGCATAATGCATGTTTAATTAGAACTAAAGTTATAGTGTCCCAAAGCATCAACCAATCGAATTGCTTATCTCTGCTTACCCTAAGCAGAAAATGCTTATCTTCGAACTCCATCAAGGCATTGACCTAATAAACACCTACACCAAGTTTGAACATTCTATCTCAATTAGAAAGAGAGTTATTGTGTCCCAAAAAGTGTGACGGATGGACAGACAGACAGACAGGCGGACAAATCCATTTTAATAGTCCCCTGCAGGGGACAACAAAAAAAATTGTGACCTCTGGAGGATCCACAAGCTGAAAACGTGATTTTTCTTACAATCGGGGGTGATGATCCAGGAAGTTACAGCCTGATATGTGCGAGTACCGAAAGGAACCGAGATCTTTCAGATATAAACATTGACCAAAATCTGATAAACATTGTGTCCTCTAGAGGGTCCACAACCTTGGTATTACATAGTTTTACGTTTACACTATTTGCATACAGGGAGCAGCCATATTTTGTCAGGCAGTTTCGGTTCAATTTTAAAAAAATTCAAACACAAAACGTCCCTATGGTGTAACGGTGATATTTTTAAACGTATTTTCTTTTTTAAATTGGATAAAATTGCGACCTCTAGAGGGACCACAAGCTAAAAACATGATTTTTTGTAAAATCAAGAGCCATAATTCAGGAAGTTACGGTCTGATATGCGTTAATATCGAGCAAACTGAGATCTTTGGGTTATAAACATGCATTTCAAGTTTCATCAAAATCGGATCAAAGTTGTGACTTCTGGAGTGTCCACAACCTTGGTATTACATACATGAAAAAGTGGGCGTGTATCGCATTCACAAATTTTTCATCAAAGGGGGAATAACTCTAGAACGCTGAATATCTATAGGGTTCATCCTCCCATTACCACATTGCTTCCCATAAAATCAATGCTGGAATTAACTTTCGAATGTGTGTCTGACACCATGTCAGACTGGATGAACATTCTGCCTGACATTTAAAATTTTTTGGTCGGACATAATATTCTGACATTTGGGTTGGCACAATGTCTATCAAGATCTATTCTGTTGACTAATATCTTTTGCGATCCACATGACGTGAGCCAGGACAATTTTGCTTAGTTTTCGTTTGATCGAGGAAATAGGTTTTGATTCGTCACGCATATAACCAGCAGGATACACCCACATTTTTGAGAGATGGATAGAGAACAAGCTTAAACGAAAGTGATTTTTCCTACAATCAAGGGCCATAATTCAGGAAATTACAATTCGATATGCACAAATATCAAAAGGAACCAAGATCTTTGGGTTATAAACTTACATTTCAAGTTTCAACAAAATTGGATAAAAATTGTGACCTCTATAAGGGTCCACAACCTTGATATACCATATTTTTACACTATTTGAGAACTTACGCCGGCCATTTTGTCTGTCAGTTTTGGGCCGATTTTCACGAAATTCGAACTCAGCCGTCCTTAGAGTTTAACGGTGATATAATAATACTTTTTTTAAATCAGATAAAAATTATGACCTCTATAGGGTCCACAAGCTAAAAACGTGATTTTTCGTACAATCAGGGGCCATAATTCAGGAAGTTAAGGTCCGATTTGCGCAAATATTGAAAGGAACCGAGATCTTTGGGTTTTAAACTTATATTTCAAGTTTCATCAAAATAGGATTAAAATTTTGACCTCTATAGGGTCCACAACCTTGAAATACCATATTTTTACGTTATTTGAGAACGAAGGGCAGCCATTTTGTCTGTCTGTTTTGGGACGATTTTCACGAAATTCGAACTCAGCTGTCCTTAGGGTTTAACGGTGATATAATAATACTATTTTTTAAATCGGATAAAAGTTATGACCTCTATAGGGTCCACAAGCTAAAAACATGATTTTTCGTACAATCAGGGGCCATAATTCAGGAAGTTACAGTCCGATTTGCACGAATATTGAAAGGAAGCAAGATTTTTGGGTTATAAACTTACATTTCAAGTTTCATCAAAATAGGATTAAAATTGTGACCTCTATAGGGTCCACAACCTTGATATACCATATTTTTACGTTATTTGAGAACGAAGGGCGGCCATTTTGTCTGTCAGTTTTGGGACGATTTTCACGAAATTCGAGCTCAGCCATCTTTAGGGTGTAACGGTGATATAATAATACGTTTTTAAATAGGATAAAAAAATTTCATACAATCAGGGGCCATAATTCAGGAAGTTACGTTCCAATATGCACGAAAATATCGAAAGGAACCGAGATCTTTGGGTTATAAGCATACATTTCAAGTTTAAACCAAATCGGATAAAAATTGTGACCTCTACAGTGTTCACAACCTAAAAACATGATTTTTCGTACAATCCATGAATAATCCATGATAATCCATGAAGTTACAGTCCGATACATGCCAATATCGAAAGCTACCAAGATCTTTTGGAGATAAACCTATATTTCAAGTTTCGTCAAAATTGGATAAGAATTGTGACCTGCAGACTGTCCACAAACAATTGTGGACGGACGGACAGGGGCGACGACAATATACGTCCACATGAAAATGTGGCCGTATAAAAATGTTAACCATTAAATTGCCTTGAATGTCATGATACTTGGGGTAGATACGTGTCGGTTGAGAAATGCAGGGTGTTATTTTTTCTACGGAATCAAACACAAACACAGTGTTTAAGGAATGAATAATTGGGTCACGCTTCCTGTGGATTTAAAATACACACCACCCATTGAGAACTTAACTATTTGTTGTATGATTAAATACAGTATGATTGAGACTTTGAGTTATTGTTCATTACAATATAAATCCATAATTTCATCGGCACCCATCATTCGATAATATAGCTTCCGTCTTTGACAATGTTCGCCTAATCACACGACAATTTCCCGCCATTTTTATAAAGGGTTGAAAATACGATCTTATTTTGGGAAATTATTTGTTTGTTGTATTATTAATTAATAAAATATGATTTAGATTATCAGTTAATAAATGTTGAAAACGATACAAGTCTTGACCAATCTCCCATTTTATTTTGACCTTGCAAATCCTAAAATATAAATCCCTTTATAAACTGTAGTGGCTACGCAATCTATGTACACGTTACCGTGAAAACATGCAGAGATTACTACGCCGTAAATACTACATCGGAAAAATAATAATATAATATGGAACTACGGGGGTATGGATAATTATTTTACTGTAATATAAGAACATGTAAGAAATTATCAGGAAGCCTATTTTGTAAATATGCAGGAATATACATTTCATCAAAATTTGTAATAAAAGGTTCTATGCTGAAATACATACAACCAAATTACACAATTCGACTCACGACTGCTTAATGCATATCAGCATTGGATTTATTGAGAAAATATCAAATCCCTGAAGGGTGACATCATATAAATTCCACAACAATGTATGTTTCATCTCGTAAGATTCCCTTGAATATATGTGTCAAAAATCGTTAAATTTTAGTATTTGGTCATTTTACCGAAAATAAAGGGGCATAACTCTTATTGTTATTAAGAAGAATTCATACCACAATTAAAAATCACATGTCGACAAAATATTAAAATCCCGTACGTAATAAAAATTCATATTTACTTCCCGTACGGTATTCAATTCATACCACAATTAAAAATCACATGTCAACAAAATATTCAAATCCCATACGTAATAAAAATAGCTGAACCTCGCTATTTTTCATATTTAATTCCCGTGCGGCATTCAAATTTATGTCAGTAACATTCCTACAAAATTAAGCATTTTCGTAATACACTGAATGAAAGCTTGCCGATTCTGCTTCGGCATCAAATACACAACCGCAATATTCCTTCACATGACCAGGATGCTTCACGCCATATTTGAAAACAATCCGATAAAAACTCTAGTCTCTATCATATTCACAATCCAAAATTTGGGCGTATAAAAAGTGATCTAGAGTAACAACCCATAAGTAGTTATCAGAAATAATTATTGTTTGAAAAATATAAATGATGACCGCAGACTGTAAGATTTCCTTTAAATACAGACCCTGTTTTATTAGATGTATTTATAATACAATATCTATTATGACAATAAATCACAGAATTATAAACATGACTCCTATAGCATAATTACTTTTACTCCATTTTTGACATTTCAAACTTGGCGGTCATGATTTCTTCATCTGAATCCAGTAAACTTGGAAGTGCTCTGAAAAAGAAACAATAGATATTGCCTGGTAAATAGATGGTGCCTGGTCAATAGGATTCTCTATCAGAACACAAAATGGATTACAGAAGTTTTAAAAAGATTTCTCATCAACTGTAATTTATAACCTCATAACCTCATAGGTTATAAGTCCAGTAACTTACCTACTGCGAATAAGTCCAGGAAGTTTTAAAATAAACATTCTTGAAAGTTGGATTTGTGCAATGATTTATAGTTTTTGATCAGAGTTAAGGTGTAAATTAGGTGTAAATTGTCATTTTCAGATTATGACTATATATTTGACTTTATTCGCTTTTTAAGTAGATCTAATCAATTCTGCTTACAAAGCATTTTTTCAGATTCAAAATCGGATAAAACAGTTTTTTTCATAGAGGTTCAAGGTTGCGATTTTTTACTTTTTGTGGAAGAATTTAAGATTTGACATAGTTTGGAAAAAGTAATTTTTAAGGTTTTTTGTGATGCTCTATTTCATTTCATTGTAAATATCTATATGCCTTCTCTCAAGAGCTACTGTCTGTTCCAGGAGATACTCCGACTCTAAAATTCCTCGCCATTTCTTCAGTTTTTAATTTAAACAGCCAAACTTGGTGATATACCTGAAATTGTCATCCCGTTGCTCTCTTTGTCGAGCCTTAACGCCTAGAAGTTCGATAAAATTAACTATTTCGACATTGTTTCAGTCTCAAAACATAAACATTACAAAGTGCGTCTGCATAATGGGACACTTGCATTTTGCGTAAAGGGTAGACAGGGATCTCCGATACCGGGTACATTCGGTTAGAAATATTTAGTGAAGGAAAATTTGTCCGATTCTTTTGTGGCAGTAATACTTATTAGATTTCACATTGTGAATCCTGTGTTAAACACTCATGTGTTTTGGTTGGATTAATATTATGTTCTGTACGTTTCCACTCGGTTTTTGAGAGTAAGGTCTGAAGAGGTGACCTTTTAAATAAAAATTTTATTAGTTTTCCAAACTACATAGGTTCTGATCAGCCCTAAATAAATATTTAAAATATATTTATCTAAATTATCTCCCTTTGGCGATACAGTTTTTAGCAGTTATTTAGAGAAACAGAATTCTATACACAATAATTACATTCGTAAAATCCATTTTAAACTAAAGGAGGGCCCATCTACAAAACCGGGGGGGAGGGGGGACAAAATTATAGACCATCCATAGCCACATATGCCGTGTTCTGTAATGCATATTGGGGATCGCGTGGCTAAGTGGGTATGACGCTGGCTCGCTAGCCTGGAGGTCGGGTGTTCGATCCCTGCATTGGCCGAGAAAGTTCATACAGATTTTCCGGCGTGGTTCCCCCTTGTCAGTGATGCAGGACGGAGGGCCTGACAAGGACAGCTGTCTAGTCGTTCGGATGGGACAAAAAACCGAGGTCCCGTGTATATATTGGAATGCACGTAAAAGATCCCCTGGCAGTTGGAATTCGATATAAGAGTAGGCGATAGTACCGCTGCCCGGGCAAAATTTCCCTCATAGCACACTTTATGACGTATGCCCGTCTTCATTAGCCCAGTGTAGGAGCAGAACAGTAGGACGTTAAACCCCATTTCATTTCATTTCATTTCTGTAATGCATAACCTTGATTGAAGAAATGAAATGATGTAATTGATGTTTAATGGCACGCCAGCATCAACTGGGCGATAGTGCGCCAGACATAATTATTATATAAAAATCGTTTTCGCTTTTGTTGCAGACTTAATGAGAAATTAGGTTACGTATACTATTAGTTTGACCATCACCCCAGCCTAAATTCAACTTTTAAATTTCATGGGTTCTCAAGACAAAGTTTTAAGCAAAGGAATAACTATGCAACCTGCGATTACTTTCGCATTATTATGGACTGAGTTATTATTGTGTATGCCTATAGCCTCCTTTCAAATTTCCATCACGTTTCAGTTTAGAATAAAAATTTTATGTAGTTTAGGCTACACAAAATAAATGTCTTGTTTCTCGGGCAACTGACAGCTGAAACTGTAGGGGGGGAGGGCGGTTTCTTTTTTTTTTTTTACCTCATTGCTGGCTAGAGGATGGTGCAAAATAAAATTTGGCTATTGTTGAAAATTGTTGGGGCGGGAGGGCGGCCTTGTATTTTTTTTTTTTTTTTTTTTTTTTTTTTTTTAATGAGAAAGTCATTACTTGTCTACGGTTTTGCTTTCAGTTATATATTGTACATACTTAGAACATAAACCCAAAAATCAAGTCAACACTGACTGAAAGGAAAATAATTTTCCATATTTATTTCACGTAATGTAGCTTACAAATGGTAATGGTGACAACCATAATTGAAATTGTTTTAAAATAACATTCCGTACGACTATTAATAGCCGTCCATAATAACAACAATAATTTAAAGAGTAAGCCTCTGTCAGCATGTGTATCAAAAATAATCATCACGGTAAACGACACTTAGAACTAAATCTAGTATCGCTGGTTTGACCTAATTCCAACCAATGTATGTCACATGTCATCGGGATTCGTGAAATGACTGTTTCTCAGGATATTCGGTGTGTTTCTCAGGATATTCGGTGTTCTATCTGGGGTTTATATCGAATGACTATTTAAATTTAACTAACAACTGGTCAGTAAAACCATTAAATGTGTAATCCAATTATTATTTTCCGGATTATCAAAACTACCGTCATGTGCTAATGACCCAGATTCTAATTAAATAATTTGACTAAGGTTAATGGTGACTATAATCGTATCGTATTCGTAGCCACAAGTAATAATTAACCTGTTCTACGATTCATTGTTTTATAAGTAGGATTTTTCAAACATGGACCGACTGAAGCCGGCAATAATGAGCCGATTAAGATCGAATGATTGAAATACATTGCATTATTGTCAATGACTTTCGGTGTTTAACACTAATCAAAATCTAGGTCACCAGGGGAGGTAATTAAAATCACGTGATACAAAAATGGAGGTTCTTTCGATATCAATAAAAACGACCCGTAAATGAGCATTTACATCTGAATCAGTTTAATACATTTGAATGGATATACAAGTATGACGCATGTAGGTACATGCGGCATATTTTTTTTATGACTTGCTTATCGATGTTCGGGCGGGCGTTACATATTTTTTATTTTTCATCAAGACTAATAAATAGGCCGCACGCGCAACCAATTTTGCGTGCGGGCGGTGCCCGAGAAACAACTTATTTTATTTGTGTTGCCTTATATCAATATCAAAACGCTACAGCCCTTGGGGCCAATTAACAATTCAAGTCAGTTGGATAAACAACTGTGGTCTTAAATCCCATAAAAATGAAAGTTATATTCTACTGGGCCGAAACAACTTCATTAACATCCAAGTAGGCCGAAACGACTCAAAGCCAAACTTGCGCCCACACCCAAATCAACTATTCCAGATAACTAGGTCAAACATGGCTGATGTTCAATATCGCGATGTAAACAAACCACGATTTTTCAAGAGAGAGAGGTTATATAGTTTGATCTGAAATTGGTTCCCTCGTGTAAGAAAGTAATGGGATGGGAATTCCAGGTATGTCACTAAGTTTAGCCGTTTTAATTAATAATTGAAGAAATGGCAAGCAATTTTCGTGTCATAGTGTCACCTGAAACCGAGAGTAGATAATATGTTCAAATTGTTCATTTTTGTGGTCTTTTTGAGACATTAATAAAATAAAAAGGAATGGAGATAATACAAGTGAAATTATGTGAACATGTCAAAAAGTATGTGAATTTTTAAAATTACACATCTTTAATCTTGCATTTTGTTGTCATAGCAACCAAAATAGAAAAAGTGCAATTTTTGACCATTTTCAAAGATGTTTAACATAACAAAAGATAGGTTGCCAGGCATTTACAAGACACTCATATCAATTTCATAGAGATCAGATGATATATTTGTCAGCATATATAAAGGCTGTCAGTTATTTATAACTATAGGCAACAGCCTACAGTACAAATACAATAAATCTGAAAGATAATGCTATAAGTAATATCAAATTTTAAAATTAAGTTACAAGTTACTTTCTATATTGATAATACATGTGTTTAACGAAAGTAAGACATATCTCAACAAAATTGAAACTCATGAGATTTTAAATATAAATTATTCTTATTGTAGGCGATATTTACAATTTAAATCTTACTATTTTATTTAAAATATTCACAATAAATAGAGTAACTGAAGTTTGAGTTAATAGCAGAGCATTATTTGTCTTAATTCTATACCTTTTGATATAAACAAGGATAAATTCCTTATTACAATGTGATCAGTCGAATTGAATAGTGACACTAGATTACTTACTGTTGGGGATCTAATCTAATAAGAGAGAGAGAGAGAGAAATGGGGTTTAACGTCCACTCGACACAAACTAGGTCATTTCGGGACTAACATATGGTTTTAATTTTATTTCAATAATTCGCTTGTGCGTAGGGGTCTTTAGCAGTGGGAGGAAACAGCGCGCACGCTAACCATTCAGCCATCCAACCCCCCTCTAATCTAATAAACCATGACGGTAAGAAATTATGTCTTAAATCTTGCAAGATAGGACAGTATATCATGAAGTGGATTTCATCGCCCACTTGATAATGTTACACAGTTTTCATATACTTTCTACCCAGGGGGTTTTGTCCCTACGACCTTGTTCTACCTCGAGAAGAACTGTTGAACATTTTAAGTTTGCTAATGCAAATCTCAGCTTATGTGGAAGATTGCTGTTTAAGTATGATTCGCAATGTATACCAGATTTAAGTAGACTGTAAAACATACATTTTAAAGTAAGCCATTTAAAAAATATTTAAAACCAATGTAATATCAAATGATATGGATTGTGTATATACATTTGAGTAAAACAGTTTGGGTTGTTAACATAGCAACCACAGTTATTTTTTTTCAAAAATCACTACTTTCCAATAATTTTGACATCAATATTGATTATTGTATATTTTAAAACCAGCTACCAGGCAAAAGCCTGATGTCCCCC